CTGACTTACTACAGAGACTGACTTCGTTTTAATACAGAATAAGTAAAACTCTAGAAATTCGTAGACTTTCTTCATGAGTATAATATTTGTAAGTTACTGAAGGTGTTTTAAGTTGACTTACCACAGATACTGACTTCGTTTTAATACAGAATAAGTAAAACTCTAGAAATTCGTAGACTTTCTTCTTCATAAGTATAATATTTGTAAGTTACTGAAGGTGTTTTAAGTTGACTTACCACAGAGACTGACTTCGATTTAATACAGAAATTTGAAAAAAAAATATTAACTTTAACAATAGACCGGATGGTGACTTGGCTGTCTATTTGTCATGACAGAGAATGTGTGGTTGTAATTATTTTCCTTTTTCTAACATTCCATCTGCTTATCAGGACAGTGTCAGTATAACTGAAAGTACGAATTTTGAAGAAAACGACTAGAAAAAATATTAATAACGGTGAATAAAAAATAACCTTATACTTATATACTGCACCATAACCAAATAAAACTTCAAAGATTTTAGCTACACTTACAAGAAGTAAAAAGAAAAAAAAAATATACTTATTTAAATTCTTCATCTGCAGAAGTTAAATTCCATTCATGAGTATGTTCCGTGACTATGTTAACAGTCAGTTAATCCAAACTTTTAGGCTTTTTAAATATATTTTATTAGTTTTACTAGATATGTACATTACTGACACGCTTAAGATACATCCACATTTATATATATATATATATACGCACAGTTTAAGGACTTGTGAATTGAATATTTGAACATGTATGTCAATATATATTCCATACAGTTTGTGTAATTATTTTTTCAGTGGTACTGTGGTAAAGATTGTCCAAGCGTAGTTAAAACATTGAAAGTTAGGTCATCGGGCACATAGGATGCTTGATGATAAAAACATTCGCAAGAAACTAAGTTGGTTTACTTCTGAATTTTCTTTTTCTCTCTGTTGTAAATTTCGATCAGGAATAACACATGTTGGTTTAACAATTGAGAAATAATAATAATTCATTATTAAATTATTGAGTGAACGTCAATAATGTGTTTAATTTTATTCATGTTGAATTGTTATAGCATTTTACATGTTAAATCCATATTATATTTTCATGATTTCAATATTTTTTGTTTTCTATTTTTCTTATTGTTTTTTTTTCTATGTCATAAATTACATAAATATCATATATACGACTAGATATCATATTTCGATATGATTAATTTCTACATTTTTACCTTTCTATGTAATAGATTCAATATTTTGTTGGAATTTCGCAGTCGGACTGAATTCTGCTTTACGACAGATCTGACATGGTGTAGCTTTGCGCTTAACAACAATCAAACCAAACCCCTAGACAACAGTATTTATATCTTACTACAATGGACATAGCGTGTATGTCAGTATCTATGTATGTAAGCAAAACTTCTACGTCATCTATTGAATGGCACCACAAATAAAAACCCATAAAAAATTCACACTTTGGGTATTCAAGATTCACACAGTTATAAAGATAACTGTGGTATGTGTAACAACCATTTATTTATAATAGAACACAATTTTAGATAAAAGTACTGTACTTACAACAAGAACACGACTTTCACTAGGACTGTACATGAGAGTTTGATTACATCTTTATTGATGTAATTTTTAAATGTAGAACTTGGAAACGGAGTTCTTAAAATGACTATTATTTTGTCAATAAACGGTACCATTTTTAATATATAAAAACATTACAGTTTATATTAGTTAAGTATATGAAAATTTTGAGCTCTGTACATTGAACCATTTTGATGCAGTGAGTTGCGCATGACGAAAGAGCACAATCTGAACACTTTTCCCGTGCAGTACTTCCCAGAAAAAAATATTTTTTTGAGAAAATGTTCACTTTTTCTGAATTTTTACAATGAGGTATGAATACTATGATTATTAATGACTAGCACAAACAGCCGCCTGTATTTATTGCTAGTATTCATAATAAACAATATATACATAACCTATATTTGATACTTCTTTTTTTATGTTTTCACTTCACATTGAAAAGTTATGAAAGACCATACTCGGAATATAAAACTGGAAAGGTTTTACAAGAGTTAGGCCTTGTATTATACGTTTTATGTTATTTTGGAAGATGAGGCATAGAAGCTATGTAAAGAGTATTTTATAAAGGTTAAGACTTAGATTAGTAAACGTTTAACTCAATATTTTTCTAAACAACTGAAATTGAGCACAAATTTTGTCAAGCGAGTAATTTGATTCAACTATAATTTTACCAGTAATTACGTGATTGAATGCATCGACGGTATTGTGAAAAGTATCGGGTTAATATTCTCTCTTTTAATTTCTTTATAATAATTATAGAGCACGGTTGATTGTTACTGTTATTTTACGTATACGATATTGTTTAACATTTTTAAACATGGCTTATTGATTTTTATCTAAATTCCTTTTTATATATACATCATATTTAGTTTTTATTATTAACAGGAGTTGTTTTCTTATTGCACTATGAGTCGTAAACTTACTGCTGGAACCACCGGGGACAATTTGTTGTAACGTAGAGAAAATGCCGAATCAAGTATGTATCTGGTGAGAGGTGATTAACACGACACTACAATCAAACTAAATGTATTCGTACTTACTACGTACATTAAAGATTGTAAGTAATCAAAAATCATGATTTAGAGTTAGTTATTTTCGTTCAAAGCCACATTGGGCTATCTGCTGTGTCTGTCGTGGGGAATTGAACCCCGAATTGTAGCGTTGTAAATCTGAAAATTTACTGCTGTTTCATCGGGGGACTCATGATTTAAGAATTTTATTTGTATGTATATATATGTTATGTGTCGTTGGCGAGAACATCACGTCACATAAATAAGGGATAACAAATAAGTTTCAACTGGAATATTGATAGATAATACTTATTGTTTTATAAAATTTCTTAGAGTCTATGGCATAACCCAGTCAGCAAAAATGAAATGCTATAAAATATTGTCAAACGTATGGGCATTAGAGTACTATCACTAACTTCCCGGTTATTTTGTTTAACTAGTCAATATGAAAAAACTCAAAACAATTAAAAAGAAATGTTTAAAAACATCCAATTTTAATTTTTTTAAACGAAACACGCATGTGTTATAATTACGTTTAATTTAGCATATTGTTACGACAGCGGAAGTCACGTGACTCTAGTCACACGTCATGAACTTCTAGAAAAATTATGTCCCTTTGTGAAGCCTCGAGTGTTTACTAGATTTTCGGTATTCTTGTATATAAGACCGCAAAGAAGTGACTGCAACAATGTAGTTGAATTGCTGACAGAGATAGAGACGGACAGTTGGGTCGAGCGCGTGAGTCGCTCGTTGTGAATTATAGCGTTTGTTTAAGTTATGGCGTGACCGTGGAAATTAAGTGAATTTCAAAGTTGTATTGAGAAAGAATAAACTAGTTTTATTTAAGAAAGGACTTGTGTCGCCAAAGTTTCATCGGAAAGAAATTATACGGGAAATTAACTAACGACCATAGACGTAACAATATTTATTAAATGCAATGTACAATCCTTCACCTAACTCGGTGTATTAAATTTTTGTAGAGAACTTTGTTTTAAATCTAATCTTGATAGGATTAAGCTATAAATGATTGAATTGTTAGGTATTTCTATGGTTAGGTGATTAAAATTTTTAAGAATTATTCCTCACAAAGTCCGAGGTTCAGGGTCAGACTTTCCCACCATATAAAACATTAAATAAATAAAAAGGGCTTTTTAGGTGAAAATATAAAAACATTTATATAATTCAAAAATAAATGTTACGGAACAGCAAAAGTTCAGTTCAGCATTTTGATTAACACTCATATAATAACAATAAGGTTGATTTGAAATAACGTGTTTCTTAGTAATGAACCAGTATATTAAAAACGCCCTCCTTACCCGATAAGACTCTAGGAGATGTAAATGCTGATCATGATTTCTTTATTTTACATTTGGTGGTTTTTATTTACAATATTATTAAATGATTTCGTTTTTAATCAATGTCCACGAAACCATCAATTATTTACACAAGATTAAAGTTAGCGTCACCATCATCATCATCACCACCAGCTCATACTCCAAGGTCACTGTTTTTTGTTTGTTTGTTTTTTATTTCAAGGGTATTTGTAAAATTTTAGATATTTTTTTTATAGAGAAGTTACAACACCAAAAATTTCAAGGCTGCTGGAGATACTGTGGTCACTGTTTAAAAATTTTATTGCAACTCTGGCTAAGTCTGAGTTATACAAGCAAAATAATACAATTTTTGCAAAATTCGTTAGCTTAATTCATACACAAGTCTTCCGATGTTCATATTAGTAAAAGCGAAACACAAATGGAAATATATATTTATAACTAGTTTTTGATTTAAAATTACAGAATAACAATGTATGGTTTAAACTATAATTCCAAACAAAAGTAGAGCTAAACGTTATCACCGTATGTCACTATCTATGTATATGCCCAAAACAAACATTGGAAAACAAATAGGCTTTAAGATTGTTATAAAACAAATTAACCGATGCCCTCCCCACACATTTCTCTTAATTTATCTATTGTGGCTCGAAATCAGAGGCATGTGTAAGAAATGGCATTTCAGATCTATCTTTTGTCTTCCACAAGTTACTGTTCAGTGAGATTTTCGTTCAATACTAGAACTCAGTTTGGGCCGGACGGTGAGAAATACTATTTATATTTGCAGTAAAATAGATTAAAAGTTACGATTTGAACACTGAAAGCTGGCGAAATATTATAAAATAAATAGGTAAAAAAATTGTTTTATAAAAACATGTTAACTACAAATTTTTGTTTTGTTTGCACATTTTATTAATTTGCCCATTGCAGATCGAAATTAGATCTGTATAACTCGTTTTTATAAGACAACTTAGGCCTCTTAGTTTTCTAATATTTCGCCGGATTTCGGCATTTAAATCGTAGCTTTTAAAGTATTATGCTACATATATAACTAGCGTTTCATAGAATATTTTGTCTCTCATCATTAGGCCCAACTAAAGGCTTCTGATATTGAGCAAATAACTTATTGGACATTGACTTGTGGGAGACAAAAGGAAGAAGTGAAATGCAGTTTATTATAGAAATTAAGAGGAACGTGAAAAAACATCTACAATAAATTTCTTTTTAACAATTTTCAACCCTATGTTGCTGCTTGAGAAAAACTTCTTAAAATTAATTGATTTTCAAACTTTTAACTGTTTCCGTTAGGGGACAGTAATATAGCTATGACGAACACATATATCATCATATATACGTGTAAACCTTGGAAATAAGAAATATCAGCTTGTACTTGATAACAAGTCATGCATTATGACTAGTTTAGTACGGTATTTTCGAACTACATCAGCTTCACCCAATCGACGACAGATATTGCTGTCTGAATGAGATTTACTTGTCGTTAGGCTGGGAAACAGCTTGGTGTAGAATCCATTTATAGGCACGCTTTAAGACACTTTCACCTTGAAAGAGGATGTCATATTTCCAAGTATGCCATAGCAATGTGAATAAAATCTGATTATTAAGCATAGCTGCAAAATTAGATAACCTTAAAACCACTTTCGCAATGAAAAAGTACAAAGTTTATGTGGGCAAAAACATCCTCACCAAAATGTGTGCATTGTGTTGCTATCATAATTAGCATTATTAAAAATTAACAATAAATATAAAAAAAACTAATTATATAGGGCGATAAAAAAATTTTAAACGTTTGAAGACGGAGCATTTTTTGTAAATGTGTGTACTGAAGCATACAACATTTATAATCTAAGGCAGGTAAACTGCTTACCAAATAGACTTGAATAGTGTGATGTTTTTGTTCCTTACAATGAAACTACATATTATACGTAAACTAGTGAAACTAACAATTCAAAGTGACAGTCTTCATACAAAACAACCATACTTTTCAGTACTCAGAGTGACGATGGTGTTCTTGAACTTTGGTTGTTCTTGCAGCGTAATCATTACTCAGGAAAAAACTGCTGAAGTTGATAATATAAAAATGACCGTACTTTTAAGAGCTTTCAAGGAGACTTAGCCTTTCTTGTTTCTTCCAACAAAGTTGTCCATCGCGACATGTCCTCCCAGGGAAAAGTATAATACGTCTATACATTCAGTAGGTAAACATCTGTAGAGTAGAATATAAATCAGCCGTTATTAAACGATTATAGATTTAAGTTATTTAAACTAAGATATAAATAGTTTGAAATTATTTAAGCACAAAGAAAGTAATTTCATCACAATTTTGCCAATGTCTGATGTGCTGTAAATTTCGAATTCTGTTCTTCCTAATTTTAAAGACAACAGCGAAAAACGAAACTAACCTAACGACTTGACTAAGAGAATGAAGGAAATATTACATGCCTCCTTATAATTGTCGTAAATCTATATAGTTCTCTCAGAACACTAAATATTTAGTCTCGTTTTTGGTACAGAATGAGTATTACCATCAAAGGGATGGATAAGATTAGGGCAGGATGAGATTTGGCACCACACCGCTAATAATTGGTATTGCTATCTTAGTTTACTGATACACCATATTCACGGTAAGTTGAATTAGTCAAACATGTATCTTATCCATTTTTAATCTGATACACTATATTCACGTTAAGTTGAATTTGTCAAACATGTATATTATCCATTTTTAATCTGATACACTATATTCACGTTAAGTTGAATTTGTCAAACATATATCTTATCCATTTTTAATCAGATACACCATATTCACGTTAAGTTGAATTAGTCAAACATATATCTTATCCATTTTTAATCTGATACACCATATTCACGGTAAGTTGAATTAGTCAAACATATATCTTATCCATTTTTAATCTGATACACCATATTCACGGTAAGTTGAATTAGTCAAACATATATCTTATCCATTTTTAATCTGATACACCATATTCACGGTAAGTTGAATTAGTCA